ACAGTTGAAGACAAGCCAGGTGCTGATGAACAAATCTCAGTGGAAGAAGACTTGGAAGCCGAGGAGAAAGGTGAAATAAATGGAACTGAAAAGTGCGAAGCATATATGTATTTTTTATAATCAAAACCTGTGCTGTTTAGTGGGATACCACCAGTCCTTAAAGAGACGTCATGATATCTCAAACCTGAAAAAAAATTGAACAATTTTTCGTCAATAGACCTATTCGGCTAACTCAATGTTGTACCCAATTCAAATCTCCTTTGGATAAGATTCTTTGTGTATTGTATTTTCATTATAATGTGGCATTCACATTTAAATGATGTGGAAATTCCTGAAACAAAACGTTTTATTCCCAGAGGATTTGAATTGGGTACAACATTGAGTTAGCCGAATAGGTCTATTTCTCTTTGGTTGTCAAAAGTCATCAAGTGCGCGCTCTTGAAAATGGTGCCTCGATTGCTAGCATTATAAAATATTGTGTTTTGATTAGTGACTTCCCACATTTAAAAAGCGAAAGAATTGACAAGTGTTGGAGGTTCGTTCGAGCAATTTTTTTAAAATGATTATGAAATAGAAATGGTGTGGAAATTAAACCGGAAACAGTATTAAATGTTAATGAAAATACTTGATCCGGTATTGCGATTGAACATGGTAACAGACATTTTTAAAGGGAAAGTTGTTTTAACCGATCTGATTTTTGGCCTCTGTAAATCCCTATCAGAACTTAAGTTGACTGTTGCTTGTGCGTACATGTTCTTGCCTTGTTGGTGACAGAATCAGAATCAGGATCGTCACCTAAAAAATTAAAATCATGTTGAATCATGTTCTAAGACATAATGCAAAGTTAAATGACTTCTCTAAAAGTTGTTGCGCATAGAATTCTACTCATTAGGGCCGTTTATACGAGAGAAAATAAGCCGCGGATTACATAAGATGCGAAAGGAACCATTTATACGAGTGACGGCCTAGTTCGCAGCCAGACCGGCCCAATGATGACGTAGTTTGTTTTGGTGCCCCGTGTAATTTGCAACAATTTCGGGAGCGAAACGATTGGCTTTGGTCAGGGAAATCGCCTTATATTACACTGTCTTTATCGTTTCAAACATTTGTGTCAAGGTTAGTGCTGGGCTCTTGCGAAACTTGTGCGGAAACCTCGACAAAACGTTCGTCAGCGATCAATCGAGTGGTTTGAAAGAGATGTTCCCGCGATGGGTGAGGTGAAGTTTTGACGAAATTTCCGGCTCTCTCGTGCAGAAGGTCTTTTTCCCGCCATTGCAGCGGGGGAGAAAAGACAGTATGCGCAGGAATCGTTAAAGGATTCATCAAACGGCGGACAATGTACGGGGTGTTCGCGTCTTATGTAAGCCGCGGCTTATTTTAGACGGCCCTATGTATGTTACACTCATATATTTCAGATTTGAGCTGGGCAAATTATTGTGCACTATCAGTGTAGTTACTTTATAAGTCTGATATGGTCATTCTCTTTATTATTTTAACTTTTATTTTCAAGAGACGATGACGTTTCCAACCCTTGGCCTCAGCTGTTTTGTTTACTTGTTGCTTGTGGAAGAAATGGAGTTAATGAATTTTCCCGCTGTTTTTAGGTAATAAAATTTGCGTAAAGTTACATTAAGTTTTTGATTGGATGAAAAAACCTCGGGCGACTTTGTTATCCAATCAGAAGCCGAAAGCAAACCAATCGTAATTTGCTCGTTCGCTTTTTCCCGCGCTTGGTGTTGGCTGCCGGTTACGCCTGTCAGCTTCAAGTTCTGATTGGTTCTTCTTTAATGTGTTTGCCTCTCTTGTGATTAGTTATTGGTAGCAATTGCTTTGTCTTCGGTTTTTTACACTCGAATTTTATTACCATCACTGTCGCGTCAAGAAAACTGCTCACCCAAGAAAACCGTTTTCTGATCATGTTCTTTAAATATTTTGTTCTACCACCTCACCCCAAAAAACCCTTTTCTGATTCTTCATTAAAGTGTTTGAAGATTTTTTTAAAATCTTTAGCAACCATGACGGCAACGACAACGAGAACAGTAGAGACAAAAAAGGGTTAAAAAATTAATAATACAACGCCTTTACGCGTGCACATTTTCCTATCTCTTTCTGTAAAATAATAGCGTCAAGGTTTGTAGAGAACGTGAATGTATGTTGTTTAATGTTCCTGGCTGTAATTGAAGCTGAAGGCCATCTTTGGTAATTCATCTCATGGATAATTGGAAACACGAAGATCTGGGTACAACGTTTATCTCGCCCATGTTATGCTTACGATAAGCTTACGACAGAACGTTAATCCAGTCATTCGTTTGACTTAGCTTTTTAGCTTTTCAGACGTGGTTGTTTAATTAGACCCCTATCGTTTTAATAACTTATCATATTGGAGATAGCCTGGGTCCAGGCTCCAAGGGGGAAAATTGGCGAGAGAAGCGAGGATTCCCCCACTTCCCTTATTCTATTTTTTCTCACGCTGTCTCCCCGCGATTTTTAGCCTCCTTCCCCCAAACGGAGAGCCTATTCACAAGCATTATTTAAGGTGGTGATTCGAACATCGCTTGGGATGTGCTTACTAACAAAAATGGTAATTATATAACAGTACAGTTGCAAATGTGAGAACCTGAGCTCCTTATTCTATTTTTTAAATTGCAGTTTCAACTATTTGCTGAGAGTTAACATGAAGAACGTCCTTTTTCTTCTAAGAAGGTGAGTGAAGAAAACTAGTTAATGTAAATGTAAGGATTTTAATTTAAAGTAATACTTTGTTACCAGATGAATTGTCTTTGCAGTGGCGTTGTGACACAAGTTCAGCAAGCGTTACCTCGTCTAACATGGTCAGTCCAGTTGACACATTTGAACTTCCGTTGCGAGACATTTTCGGATGTTACTAGAACGGGGAACGGGGAGTAGGGAACCAATACGGGGAACGGGAAAATGAAAAATGGGAACAAAGCCTAATTTGAACCCTAGCCCTATCAGTAACCTCATTTCCAAATCTCGGTTTTGTTCCCATTCTACATTTTCTTGTTCCCTGTGCTTGTTCCCCGCTCCCCGTTCCCTGTTCTAGTAACATCCGAAAATGTCTTGCAACGGAAGTTCAAACGTGTCAACTGGACTGACCATGTTAGACGAGATAACACTTGCTGAAACTTGTGTCACACCGCTTCTGCAAAGACAATTTTCATATGAAAAGTAGACTTGTCCGTCTACTCCTGTAAAGCTCGATTGTGTCTGCCACTTGTATTCTTCTTTATTAATTTTGTCTCAGATTGTATAGCCGGTTATATCATCATTACGTCACGGAAAATACGCTTTACAAATAGTATTATTACAATATTATTATTGTTGTTATTATTATTAATATCATCATTATCATCATCATTATTATTATTATTAGCCGCCTATACCGTATGCTGAATAAACCAGTCAAAACAACACAACTTTTTTTGACCAGACCATTGGCATGTTCCACAGTACATTGCTTGCTGCATCGATTTTTTAGAACGTCACAGCTCCCAATTTCAGCTTAATATTAAGGTTTCTAGCACAGTCTTCAGTTTATTATCTTTGTTTCGTTCACTTTTTTTACTTTCATTTCTTCGTTGCTTTTCAGCACAGAGCACTGTGCCATATACAAGGGCTTGGTGCGTATTTTGTGAGTCCTTGTGCTACCAATATTATAACTAATTTTAGAACATTTAAGGAGACATTCAACAAAAAAACATACTTTATTAAACTCTTCTCAGGAGACATTCAATTCTTTGACTCATTCACCAAGTTACATAACAGCCTCTCTTAAAAAGCTGTGGGCGAAATCCTATGGTGTTATCATTCAAATGGAACCTCTTTGGAAGAACTTTTGCGTGGTGCTATGTGTAGGATTTTACAAAAAGAAATTTGGAAATTTTGTGAACTTTTGAGAATTTGTTTACATTTATCCATATAAGGGGTAAGAATTAAGGATAGATACTCGCTTTTATCTATTCGGCATTTAAGCTGAACATTTGTTTACTAGAAGTCTTGGCTTTTCTAATCCAAGTGTGCTCCTTTTGATCAAATCAGCTGAGGGAAAGGGATGGTTTCACTTTGGGATTCGTTTTATGAGCGGGACTCAGCTATAATAGCCAAGCACTTCAAGAAAATATCAGTTTATCAGTTGAAATGCAAACCGCGTTGTACCAAATTGAGTGTTAGTAGGCATCCGAGACACTGATATAATAACTTATGAACAAGTGTGTATACTTTCTAGGCAGTTTTCAAATATAATTTAGGGCCTCACTCATCTTGGAAACATGCGCAATATGTTGACATCCTCCATCTTTAAGGGGTGGTGTTGTCACCGTTTTAACAAATGCGATCTCTTTGCCCTCAGAAACTGTTGGATGCATTATCTAGAAGATTGAAGGAAAAAAGTATGGTGTACAGACATGATGAGTTCAAAGATATAACAGAAATTGTAAAGGTACGCAGGTGTTTGATATTTCATCCTAGGTTTCCATCAGATTCCATTGGGTGAATATTAGTACAACCTAGTATGTTAACAGTGGCGTTCCTCAAGGTTCCCTTTTCTCAAGGTTCCCTTATTGTTTAATATCAACTTTTATTACATCCATTTGGAAATCACAGGTGATCCTTGCAATCTGATTGGCTCAGAGTGATGTGATTTATTCACGAATCGCACTATTTTGTGCTCTAAATCGCATCTTTTTTTCAACCAATGAGAAAGTAGCACTTAAACAAAACAACCAATCAGATTTCAAGGATCATTCACAGTAACCAATCAAATTGCAGGAAAACAAAAAACAAATAAAGGCAATATTGTGTGGCAAACTTTGTGCAAGTTTTTTGTTGCCAAAACTTTCTTTTTACAAGGGCAAAAATGGACGAATTTAATTACTTACAGTTTCTTAATGATGATAGTGAGCTCCTTGAGGCTGAAGAAGTACTTTTAGGGGAGTTTCCGACATTCAGTGTCCAGTTTGACGAATATTTTGATAATTTTTCCTCCACATCCGCTCCGGATGCGTGCGATCCCGAGTCCAGCAACAAAGAGACAAATCCAGAGCCAACTCAGAAAGTACAAAATGTAGATTCTACAAGGTTCCCTGAAATCTCAAGCGAAGAAATTGAAGAGCTCAAGGCTGTTGCCGTCAACAAAAATACCTCCCGCTCGACAAAACAGTGGATGAATGTATTCAAAAGTTGGTGCCAGTCTCGTCATCTAGAAAATGTAAACATAGAAACAATGGCGCCGGAAGAGCTTGACAACATCCTGAGCAAGTTCTACGCCGAAGTAAAAAAAAGGGACGGAGATGATTACGAGCCGGAATCCCTTAAAATCATGCAGAGTGCCATTGAAAGGTATTTAAAGGAGAAGAATTATCCGCTGAGCATCGTACGATCGAGGGAGTTTCACAACTCACAAGAAATCCTCCACGCGAAGGCAATTTCTCTGCGACAACAAGGAAAGGGGAAAAGACCAAACAAATCTCAGCCTCTCACTTCGGAGGAAGAGTCTTCCCTCTGGCTAAAAGGTCAGCTTGGTGATTTTAACGGAAAAGTCTTGACCAATGTTAACTTCAAAAACTTGACTGAGCAACTTGGATTCAGAGGTCGCCAGGAGCACTATGACGCCTACGTAGAGGACTTCGTTATAAGACAACAAGAAGACGGCAGCGAAGTTGTAGAATTCCGTGAAGGTCCCACTAAAACACGAAGCGGTGGTCTAACAATATCGCGAAGAACAACACCACAAGCTATGTATTCCACCGATGGCGGAAAAACTGATCCAGTGCGCCTTTTCAAGCTTTGGTTATCCAAGCGACCCGACGGAATGAAAGATAAAGGGCCACTGTACCTGAGCGTTATAAATCGTCCCAAATCAAATGATATCTGGTACACCAAAATTAGAATGGGCGAAAATACCATCGGCAACATCATGAAATCCATGGCCTCCTGTCTTAAGACGAACAAAAAACTGACCAACCACAGCATGAGAAAAACGTTGGTGTCCAAATTGAAAAAGTCTGGTCAGCCGCGCAACGTTATTTGTGAAATAACAGGCCATGCACGTGAATCTTCGTTGGACGACTACGACGAAATAGACGAGAATCAACGGAAAGAACTGTCTCACATAATTAGCGGATTTAAAGTAGTGCCAAATGAAAACGGTCCCAACGACGTTTCCAATCAAAACAGTACAGCTGCAAAGGCACCAACAATTCAAAACACAGTCCAACAGCCAGTCCTACACCAACGAGCACCACTGGTTCCTATTAATCGCGCCCAACAGCAAGGTCAAATGCACCAGGCCATAGAATTCCTGAATCCTGATTTTCAGGCTGCTGGTTTAGCAGGATTTCCGCCAAGTTGTCCCTCACAGTTTCAGTACCGCATGGCAGCGTTGACGTGTGCTGGTAATACTGCTGCTTCATCGCAGAATTACACCGGCTGTACTTTCAATTTTTTCTCCCAAGAAAACGCGATGCCTCAGCCACAACCGCAGAAGAAGCGAAGGGCTTATATTATTGAGTCAGACGACGAGGATTAAACTTTGAAGAAGACTATTTTTGCAGCGACAAGATTTTAGAACTGCTTGAACATTTGCACGAATGAAGTTTTTGCGCTCCAATGGGTTTTTTGTAAAGTGACATCTGTCATTTTGTTTTGTTGACATGGCAAGTACATGTAAACGCGTTTCCGGTTCCGCTTTTTACGAACCAGCCTTTTGGACCAATAAATTCCAATAAATGCAGATTTAAAAAAAATGAGTGATTTCAAAATGGATGTAATAAAGTGGTAATTGAACTTCGTGTCGTGCAATTTTGGTCTGAAATCATACTTGTGATTTCAAATCGAACTCGCGCTGCGCGCTCGTTCGATTTCGAAATCACGCGTATGATTTCAGACCAAATTGCACTCCACTCAGTTCAATTACCGTTATTAATGACTTATTTTATTTCATCAAAGAGGCGAAGCTGTCTAACTATGCTGATGATGATCAGCTGTATTTTGCTGATACTGATCCAGCTGTTGTCGAACATGTTCTCAACAAGGAACTTGCGGTGGTGTGTGAGTGGTTTTGTAATAACAAGATGATCTTGAACCCTGAAAAATGCAAGGCGCTGGTTCTCTCGCGGAAGCCCGATGTCAAGCTATCACTATTTGCTGAAAGTGTTGCTTTACACTAGTTGATACAGTTGATCTGTTTGGGGTAACAGTGAATGATTTCCTGAATTTTGGAAAGCACATTACGAAAATTAGCAAGAAAGTTGGAGAGCTGCTAGATGTCCTTTGTAGACTAAAGAAAATATCATCGTTTCCGACCAAACTCTGCCTTTATACTTCGTTCATAATGTCTCATTTTCATTACTGTTTCTCGGTATAGCATCACTGTTTGAAGTCTGATAGCAAAAAACTGGATAGGGTGCATGAACGAGTACCGTTCATATCTATACAGTGATGAATCTTCTCAAACTAGCACTCTTTTTGGTTGCATTGGTTTCAGCCTTATGGGTCGACGTATCTAGAACTTGTTAATTATAGTGTTTAAAGTAATGAACAATTATCCACCTGAGTATTTGAGAGACCTTTTCAGGTTAAGAGACCATACTCAAAAACCTGAGAGGGGTTAACAAGCTACACGTAACGAAACCTAATACGACTCGTTATGGAAGAAAGTCAGTAAAATACTTGGCGGCTATCACTTGGAACAAGGTTCCTGATACTTTAAGATCCCTTAATACATTGTTAGCTTTTAAAAAAGCAATTCGTCAGCTAAGGTTCTAACTTATTCTCAATAACAGCTTTATCTATCACGTAATTGGGCTTTTTACTGTAAATAGTTTTATTGTATAATCAAGGCTTTACTAAATTGTAAATAAGTTCTTCTTTTCCCTTTTACTTATCGTTAATTTTATTTATTAGTTTTTTTTCCCGGCTTATTAGCATATATGAATTATTGCTAGAGGTCTAAACAACCTCATCAATCCCGGGATTAAATAAAGTTTCATTCTTTCATTCAACCGACAATCGAGTCTTACTGTCTAGCCTGCGAATACACCTGTCTCCTAGCGCTCCCCGCCGCTTGGGACCCTTGCGAGAGGGGCTCCTGCGTTTTGGTCTCTTGCGAAAAGGCCCCAGGGGCGGGAACGATGAGAGACTGGTATATTCGCAGGCTAGTGTTTTGCTTAAACTCTTTTCTCTCAGTCTGATTTCGCTCCTCAAATTCCAAATTGTATGAATACTCACTTTTTATTTAAACCTTTTGAACTTACCCTAAGGGTACTTTTATCAAGAAAGTATCCCGGCCCCTTTTATCAAAATGTCCCCTTTCGCTACCCACTTCTGTTAGCGCACTATCTTCTTATGTCTAAGATCAACCCAGTCACGTAAATTAAGATAAAAAACATTGATTTGAGTCGTTGTCATCATTAATCAACTGAGAACCATAAATTTCTGAAAGAGTATTTTCACTTTTCCCCAGGCTTTGATAAATGTCATGACGATGTGCTCTTCAAGAAAACTGGTGAGTTTCTGTTCTCTTCCCTTCTTTTTCTTTCTTTTTCAGCTTAAGGTAAGGTAGCTCACGGTGTTGTTTTTAAAAATAGATTTTGCCTGTTTTCTTTGACTGCAAGCATTAAACCTCAAACTGGTAAAAGAAACATCTTTTATTGTCAGAATTATCGCCACGTAACAAAAATAGATGAACCCCGAGCATTTTTAGCTACTTTCTTATAGGGAAAAAGAAAGAAACTTGATATTTCGTAAGTTTATCTGAATACATTTCGCCTTTATCTCCTTCTGTTTCGTCTATCCTCGCTTCGTTTTGATTTATCTAAAACATAATATTTTCCTCCTGAGGTTGAAGCAGTTCAGTGTTATAATTTGTAAGTTAATTCTTAGATCTTTTAGTAATGCGCGAGGAAAATTGCCTCAAAGAGTGCTGTTGGAGCCCCTTTGCTATATTTGTGTCCTCCGAGAGATAGGCTTTGTTGGGCAATGTCAACTTCAATGTACTATTAATATTCATGTCTCAGGTTTTAGATGTTGACTTTTTTTCTTGCAGAGATCAAAAGGAGTTCGTGTTTTTCCAATTTTTGCGTCAAAACTAGATACAAAAAGTCAATATGGCTTGTTATAGTAAGTGGTTTTAAGTAAGGTTTAATCAACTGTTTTACTTTAAAATACTCGTGAATATCTGGTGGCGGTGATGCGAGATAAATATCAATAAAAAACGTTCTCTACTGTCAAACGATAAAAAATTATATTTCTATTGCGCAAATAGAATGGTTATACGCGTTTTCTGCCATTGAATCCATTCCAGTTGTTACGTGGTTTAGGCGTGAAAATTTACCATCGTAAAGAAACACAAAAATGATGTTTCACGGAGTCGCTCCAATGAAAGGCTAGCGCTCATATTTCAAGTTTGCTGCCTGAAAAACATTTTTCTTGTTACATGCAATTCCGTTATTGCTATGGTTATGAATGCTCCGTCTTCCCTTTTATTGGCTTAAACTCTCGCGCCATTTCTCAAACCCTGAGAAGTGAGACTAAGAGCAGCTGTCACTTAAGCACGTTTTTCCCGCGCTTAAGGTTTGCAACATCTACTCGTCTTGGGTTTTGATTAGTCAGAGTAATCAGTTTAAGTCACACTAAACCTCCTTTCCAGAACGTCGTCTACGCGAAGTTCAAAATCCTTGAAATACGTTTCTGTATTAAATCAAATAAAACTAATTTTCATATGAGTGACAGGTTGTGCACTCAGCCTCATTTTAAAAGTGAGAGTATTTGGAAAACGGGAAAGGCCTACTTCGCTGACTCGATTGAGTTCCCCCATTGTATCGTTTCTGTTAGGGGTGTTTACGTGAGAAAACTCGCACCTACGCGAGTTTCATACCGGAATGACTTCTTGATTTCGTGTCGCGTTTACAAGTTTGTTCCCTGTCCCATGAGCAACATGACAACGCCATCCTGAATTGACGAAAACTACGCATGCGCTACCCGTTCCAGTTTACCGGCAGACCGATTTCACACCAAAGCGAGTGTTCGTTTCGCGTTTACATGATACCCTTGCGTAAGTTCCTACCGGAGTGAAATTCTCGCTCTCGCTGTAAACACCCCCCTTACACGCTGATTTTTTTTGCGCCTTTTTGGTGACTTATAGTGAACGACTTAAGACTCTTGAAGGTTTACGAAAAACTCAGCTGAAAATCGGTAAAATACCCGCAACTTCAAAATGCTATGTGAAATCTGACATGGACTACAATTTGATACGAGGCTTTAATTTTTTACAGTACCTTTCTTCAAGATTGCAGCCACGCGGGAGTAGCCGGTTTGTTGATATACCTTCTGAAGGAACAAGTGAACCAAGCCCTTTGTGTAAGTAACACGTTGAAACTTTTGTTAAGATTCAGTTTTTGCCTTTTTTGTGTGAAGGGAGTTTTGAAAGGAATTTTCTGAATTGTTTTCAGTCTTCAACAGAGGAGCCCTGGTTCCAAGGAACTCGTTTTATGTCGATATTTCAGCTGGTTCTCAGACTTCCCTCAAAAACTGGGACAGAAAAGGACCTGGTACAAGAAACTGATAGGTAATCGATCCATCTCTTTCAGAAGGTACATACGGTACCAGATTGTCTGGAGTTTTCTTCGAGGTTTCACTTTCCATCCAAGCTGTTGTTTTATTCGAGATATGTGGTTATTACTTTCACTTCTGTTTGCAGGATTATGGGGGCTCTTAACTGCCTGCGGTTTATTCTTCTAAGAGATAACTGCGACAAGGTGAAAAAGAATTTTTATTAGTTATTTTGAGGCTGCTAGTGACACTCGGTCGGTTTTGTGTCGAAGTGCACTATGGGACTGTTTTTGGAAGGAATTTTGACCCAGTTTCCAAACGCGACTTTGTAATAACCAATGAAAGAGTCGATAGCGTCTCCCACAGTGCAATTCGACACAACAACGACTCAGTCTCGTGCGCAACCTCTAAAGGGCCAAAATGGGCAAAGTCAAAACCCGTTTTCAGACCAAAACGGCTCAAAAACCATACCCTTTGGGGCGGCACATACCTAAATGGCTTATATGAGGGAGGACCCCAGAGGACAACTGTTAAGATCCATAAATGTGAAATGACCCCTGAAATATTTGCATGAATGCATGCTTCACGCGTGATTGGCTGTCTGCTAAAACGGGGTTCCGAATCAGGTCAAAAAAGAAAAATGTAAACAATTAAATAAGAACACTATTTGTCTTCTTCCGAAGGGTTTGGTAGAAGAAATTGTTTGCTAAGACCCGAGAGCTGAAGCTGAAGTTTGTATTCGTGCTTTTCTAAATTTGATTTTGATCACTGGCAAATCTTTGATGCGGCAACGCCGAACACCAGTCATGCCAGTAATAAAAGAGGACTCAGAAGTTTCATGTAGCTTGGATAAGGATTCTAAATGGGATTCAATTCACGCAGTTTCCTAACGCTAATCATTAAACTTAAGAGTAATTTGCTGTTTGGTGTTCAAGCGTTATTGTTTTTGTTCTCTTACCATAATTATTATCTGAAATGACCCACCCCTTCCCCTCAAAAATCAGAAGTTTGGCAATAACGCAGGGGAGGGGGACGGGAAACCTGATCCGTCCCCCATTTTGTCTTTATGCTGCACAGACGAGGCGGCCTCGATATTTTGATTGGGCGTTTCCCTGAAGAGCAGCCCAATAATTACTGTAAGCCCTTATCATTCCATTCCCCTACGCAACCCTTAAAAGGTTGATCACGTGACACCATGATACCATAGGCCCATCTGTTCACTCTCTTGCTCTTTTCTTGTAGCTTGATCTCACAGTCATTTTTGACTTCCCGATCGGCAGATCAACACCATACAAGTTAGCTTAGGTAGCTGTCAGCGTAGTGTATGGGTCCCCATTACTACCAACCAGGACTTTGCGAAACATATGCTACTGTGTCTACATATGAACTGGCTAACCACCGTGCTTTTTTCTTGTTGTTTTAGACAACAGTTTGGAAAAACTTCAAAACTATTGAGACGAATTTCGTGGACCCCTTAAGAGAAACATTGAAAATAACCAGAATACAATACCAAGCAGAACTGTTAAGCAAACGGAACGAAATGACCGGAAATAAACGTAAGTTCGGCGGCAACAAGTTTAGAGCTATCAACCCACACCGGCTCTCCGACTTCAGTCTGAGCCCGCGTAGCAATCGTTACGAAACGAGTTATTGCGTGACAGTTGGCGCGAGGGAATGAAACAAAAATGGAAGAAGAGGGGAGGGGAGCGTACACCGTTTTTGCTCTCTTTTCAACTTTCATGACGAACTCCTGCGGAAACGCTTGCTACGAATACTAACTTTAGTCGGTCGCCGGGCTTGAGACGTGTAAAGAGAAATAAAGAAGAAGTTAAAAATTAGTGTTTTGAAATATTGAATATGAGATATCATCAGAACTGCAGGATGAAAACTTAAATATAAAGAAAATTATTGCAGTGATGGACGCAACTTTTGCAGTTGAGAAAGGAACGGCTTGGAAAATTCGGGCTTTGGAGAAGTGCTGAAGTACCTGTACACATATAGTGTACTAGTTTTTTTGTGTGTGTTTAAAGACACTCAGCTCTTCTCGCGCACTCTGTTCAGTGCCTACTTCATTCACTTCATACACCTTGTTAAAAATTGAGCGAGCAAGTCTTAAGTGCCCTTTTTTTTTTTCAGGAATGGAGGCAAAAGAAGATATTGAATTTAACATCAAAAGTCCCGATGGCAAGTCACTGGAGGTGATGCCTCTAAGAGACCAGTGTGAGGTGAGATGGAAATTCCTATATTCATCTGGAAACATTGTGATTATATTCCCCGGCTGCAGGAGTCAAAAAATGCGCACGACTGGGTCGAGTTGTTCAAAGGCCGATTAGCGTAAATGCACGGTCTAAAATCTAGGGTTAGTTACTATGAAAACGCATGTGTCGTTTTACAGTTAACCCAGGATTAGATCTAACCCGGTTTCGAGCAACTCGACCATGGAGTTCATTTGAACGCATGATGTCTCCCCTGGGAAAGATAAGCATTAACATCTGGGAATTTGCTCACCTACCCCTTCCCTAATTTCTCCATTGGTGCAATATTTTGGGTACGCCCCATTCATATTTTTCACGTGTACGGTTCACGGCACTTAAGATTTGTTAGAAGTCGGCTTGGAATTTATCGACAACAGTGGCGAGTGTTAAACAAAGTATTTGAAATCTTTTCACAGTTGGTGATTTCCTGTATATGTGGTTGTTTGCAGGCGCTGCAGTCTGGCCTATACTCGCTAGATATGATGGAAAGCGTTGTTGCCAGAATATCAGAGATCGCGAACAGTCGAAGCAAAGTAGGAAAATAAGGGTTGTCGTGAACGGCACGTAAATACCGCCGTTGCTGTAGTGTTCGCCACCAGGACCATGAATCGTCATCAACTGAGGGAACCCATCAACTAAGGGGAGCCGGCAACCGGTCAAGTCGTCAGGCAGCTTAGGCCATTGGTCTGGCTAACGGCACTGATAGTGCTCGTTTGAACGAAGCTTAAACCTCGGATGCTGTGGATGGGTTGCGGACTGTTATCAGCTGGTGGTTAAATTCCAGTCGACAAATCAAAGCGCTTTACAGAGAGTCCAGGGAATGAAGCGGAGGCTTACGAAGAATCGAGCTTTATTTCAAATTTGATTCTTGCTAGCGTAAACTAATCACATTCTGAAACCGCATTATCTCAAAGAAACTTAACCTTTATATTCTGAGCAGTTTCAACGTAAATTATAAACTCGAAAGATAACACGAACTAGTGAAAGAAGCGGAAGGGGAAGAATTTACAATAAGATTGTGATCACTTTCTCTGCCTCATTGAGAAACTGAAAGCAGTTGCTTAGAATTTAAATTTAATCGAATAAGCTTTGTCTTTATAAAAGCTGTCCTTCAAGAACTAACGGCCCTCATCGGAACCATATTACATTGTTTCGGAGGCCACTGAAAGACCAAGAGGACAAAACGTCAAACAATATTTAATATTGGGTGGTTATTGTCCATTTATCTTGGAACGTACATCCCTTGATGAGCTTTCGTTTCAGTGGCTCACAACTCGCATAATAAGCTCCAATGTGTGCCTCGCCACAAGTTACTGTCATCATGTGTAACACTGACTCTTCTATCCGCCTCGTGACAGTCACTCACGTAGACCTCGTGACAACAGACTTGTGTCTCTAAGCGCAAAGAGCTTACGTCACATTGATTTCTTTGTGACGTCTTCGGTACTGCAGTAGGTTTATCGCAGGGAGGCCACGCCAATCAATACCACAAACACTGCAACAGATACCAGAAACTCCACCGGAAATTTCCATTCCACCTTCTCTGACTGTAAAAAAGAAATAAATTAACGCGATTAAATGCCTTTGTAACTAATTAATTTTTATGGATGCCGGGAATTGTTCCGTTGGGTGGACTGGAACTGGTTGCACAAAACTCCTGCACTCGAGGTTAATTCTGATCTAAGTATTCTTAACACAAAACGTTTGGCGGTTTGACATAGTTATATTTGTCATAGTTTTTGGTTGAATTGTTTCGGAAAGCAGTTTGGATGGTTACAAACACAAACCCATAGTTAAAGATTCTTGCGCAGGTTTTATCTCTTCCTTACTTTTCATGGTTACGATTCATCAATTCTTGGCGTTTAAACATTTGGAAACCACAGCTCTTTCAACGCAATAGTCTCTTTTTTCCCGAAACACCTTTTATCCACCTCACCTCCGCACTCTAATTCTTTTCGTTCCACCACCACTACAACATTTCTTTCTGTAATTTTAACACCACGATCAACAACCAATTCCTATGGTTTTCCTTAATTCTATTGTTTTCCATCACCACCACGGATACCACAACATTACTATGGTTTCCCTTCACCTATGAGATTTCACCGCAAACAGGAGGCTCAAAGAAGCTCACCTATACTACTGATCTGACGCCAAGTATTTTATGTCCCAAAGTCACAGACACAGAGGTCGGGATCAGACCAGAGCTACAAAGATAATCTATATCAAACTCGTTAGAATGATGAATGATACCTTTCTTGCTGTGGTGGGAAACTGCTCGCGCAAAACACGTTTCTCTGCTGTTTTAGGACGGTTGTCTCTTACGGGTGCCGAGCAACCGTCTCCTCTGCAACGCGAAAAATATTTCCAGTTAATTCACTTAGGACATCTTTTAGTTCTTGATTTCACCATTAAACATTACTTTTAAAAGTGCTTTATGAGAAACATGCATTTATATGTAGCGAGCGTCGTAAGGCAAAGGCTGGGCCTGCTCAGATATTTTAAAGCCTTGAGTACTGATACGACCCGAAGACTGGAAAGCAATCTCCCACTTGGCGGGCCAGTGACCAACCAACTCAACTAACCATGCGGCGGGTTAAGTGTCAACTCCATCAACTTTCGAATCTCTGAGTCGTAGCTATGCGTAGTTGCCTCTATACTCGCTACAGCCTGGTTGTGGCCAGAATCCTTTTTTGAATCCCTCATAGCTATTTTTCCGTGTGACAGAAGATGTACCTGCATAGAGATTCCTGCTTGACATCAGTAGCGGAGGAATTTGATATCTCAACGCTGTGAACGCTGCCAAAGAAGTCGGTCACCAATACCTTAAAAAAAGAAAGGAGGAAACTTTATTTCTGTCACCACAATTACAACCATTGACAAAAGTCCTTGGGAGAGTAATGCGGAATTCTTCTTAAACTCATTAATAATTCATAAAGAAAAAACAAAAGAAATTAATGTCTAATGAGGGTTTGAAAATCAGATGAAAAACTGGTCATTTTTGCATCCTTAATTTCTCCGTCTAAGATCATTTTGTTTAAGAAGTAATATTAAGCATTCGACAGAGTGTTTCATCACCAGATGAATCACCTCGAAGTTCCTCAAAAATACTTCGCTGCGCGTCGTAGTTTCAACTCTCTTCACGGTGTTTCACCTGGTGATGAAACACTGCGTCTCATGCTTGATATGATTTTCTGTAATTTCTGGGTTCCTTCATAAAACAGTGCATCCCTCTCGAAATTTTCTTACAGCTCTCTCTCTCACTCCACTCTAAACAAAGTTGAAACTCGAAAAAATTCTGGATACAGGCGTCCAACGTTGTTTGTGGGTTGAAGGGAGCAGGGGTTGGGTATTGGTATGTTAATTGGAAAACGCCCCAGAAATGCTTAAGTCGGTCCCAAGACTTTTGTCCATGATTGTACATGTCGCTTACTCAAACAGACTTGGACACCTGTCAAGGAAGAAAATGTACTTCATACCTTTAATCTCCGATCACGTTATGGAATCATTGTAGAAATGTTTTATACACTTTACCTTGTTTGGGTCCCTTTTGAATAAGTCAGATCTCACTCCTGGTGTAGATATCACTAAATTTGGCGTAGTGTAACTGAACTACAAGAACAAAGAATACTTTGGTGAGCTCCGTATAAACTGCATGTATGTGCTAAGGTATAATCATCGTTAAACACGACCATTGAGTTTAGCTTGGTTTATGCAGCATTAAATGCTAGTCCATTCCAGGGTTACCCTCTTGCAACGTGTATACACACAAGGTAGGAGGAAAAAACTGTGATTTAAAATTGACCACCGTGCCTCAACGTGTCATTAACGCAAGCTGAATAATCAAATCCTGATACCCAAGGAAGTTCCTACTCTTAATGGTATTGTTGATAGATTGGTGTCTTAAACGCACTTGCATTCAATCATGATGCTGTTACTTTACATACAATTACATGCATCTTAACACATCATCTTGTACTGAATGTGAATTCAATTCAGCTTGAGAAAGCAACGCTTCACTGTTTTAGGTCACTCTCAGTTGGAGTCGCACCACTCTTGAGAGAATAGTTAACAAAAAATCTTCACCAAGAAAGCCGAGTTCTGAGTCAGTCACTAATACTACTGAAAACAGCTTATCATGCTTAAAACAACACAGCTACTTGATAATGATGATGATGATGATGATAGCAAATAAGAAATATTAAATGAATTTACCAAATCTCCCACGGTGGCTTTGCTGTTAGGAGTGACGCCTTCTAGAAACTGAAGAACGTAATACGTGTACCTGTCTATCACGTGAACTCCAATGGCTGGGTCTTCATGATGCTAAAAAAATAGATAATGATGAAAAAAAAACAGTAAACACGACAACTTTCCTATCCAAAGTTTGTATAAATACATTTGTCAAGAGAAAAAAAAAGTGAATTCAGTGTTAAGGTAGGGCGCGTATATTTTCTTGTTGGGCAAGTAGCTTTTAAAGCTTACAGGGTCCAAGCAAGTCATCCTCTTACAAAATCATTGACTAAGACAAGCAAGAAGTAGCCCTGAGAAGGCAAAATGTGAGAGCTGCTTGCTCCAAAGACAAGCTGGAATTCAATTTTTTTAGCTCTGTTAAAGTATCAATCTTTGAAGCTGAGATCCTGGATTCCAGTCCGAGATTGAACAGTCATCTGGAATTTAATTAGGGTCCCTGTACACAAAGATGAACTCACAGAAAGGGAATCTTCTCCAACTAAACTGCTGCCAACTCCCAGAATGTTTGGTGAGTAAAGCTTTTGTGTCATGGAGTATGCTTGGCAGGTGTCCACAATCAAGAACACCTCATTATACCTGCAATGATCCAAAAATAGAGAGATTAAAAATGAGGGACTACAGACGCATACCAAGCAGAGTCTGAAATTGCGCCTTCCTGGTCGCCAATGCGACCAAAAATTCAGTTCTGGCGACCAGAAATTCATAGTTGGTCGCCAACTGGCGACCTCGTAAAGCTGGTTGTCATTGTAGACTTTCACGTTCGGAGAAAATGATTAAGAATTGAAACCTCAAAGCTATTTGCCAACAGGTGTCTTACTATTCGTCCTGCGGATATTTTTTTAATTTAAAAGTGAAACGAATCTTCCTGTAAATATACCTCCACAACAGCTACGATCAATACGAGTTGAACGTTTCCAAGCCGCCAAGGGGAATTTTTTGGCGACCATAATTTGCCCCTTGGCGACCAAAAATTTATACTTGCTCACCAGTTGGCGCCCATATTAAAAAGTTAATTTCGGACCCTGCCAAGCAGTTCAATGGATTACTCAGTAGCAGATTGAGGGGTGGGTATTGAGATACCTAGTCTAGGACAGAGATATCCTGACAAAACAGCACACATTTGCAACCACACTTCTTGTTTCCACGCAAAATAACATCTGAGGAACAACTGCAGGTTGGTCAAAGCAACTTCCCCGCAAGGCACGATTAATCAGAATTACAATGCATCACCCAGATCTGGGTAGTGACCAACATCAGTATGGCCCTCTGACGTCATTTTGCGAGGAGACCAGCATCGTGAAATGTTTGCCGTTTTTCTCTCAGGCTAGGCTAGAGAGGGTCCTACACTCCTGGGTCCTTTTCCTTGAGGTCTGACATTGTTACTGCCACACCTACCGTCGTTTTTGCCACATTTGCTCAAAGGCATCAGCCAACTCTATGCTTGTAATCTCCTCAGAATCTTGAAACTTAAGAAACCCATCACCCCCATGGCCTACAAGGAAGAAGGAAAAACAGCAGCATTACAATTAAGATATTCCTTCCACGCCTTTGAGTTTTCATAGGAAACTTAATCATGTTAATAACAAACCTGTCATGTAGACGAGAATGTTGCTTCTTTCATCAGAAAGTAATCGCTTGGATCTTGGAACACTGGATGGAAGACGACCTGTTATATAAAAATATGGAAAATATCAAGTGATCACAATTTCCACTGAGAGGCAAAAAGACTATGCAACTTCATAATTATAGTTAATGGTACAGGGTGGGAAGCCATCTTGGAAAATTGAAAAAGGAAAGAAGAAAACAAATCATTTTCTTTTCTTGGTTTTACCTGTCAAGATTCTGATGAAGTTTTCCACTGTAACCTGTAACAAAAGGTTTCAGAGGTTTAATTTTACTTTTTGCCTTTAATTATGGTTGCAATGCTAGGCAAAGAAGGTAAAATTTTAAGTGTTTCAAAATCTTCACGACTTAAAAAAATTACTACACCAGAAGGTAGACAGGTGGAGCACAGGATTTTGACATAATTGTAATTATCAATGCAAAATTTTTTATTGGTACTGACATATGGTAAATGAAGAACCTGCCTTTCCTTTTCTTTCCTTTTTGGATTCATTGCCACTTAAAGTAAGTTTCTTACATGACAATGGTGCAATATTCTATTTTCCCTTAGGAGGCTGCATTTTTTAAACCTACAACAGGACTATGATGTCATGATGAATAGCCTTGAGTGTCCCTTAGTTAGATCTCTAAAGCTGGCCATAGCATGCTGGATAGACTTGCCCGGATTGAACTTGACATTTTTCAGTGACATTTTCCCTCATGACTGATGACCCAACTAAAATTAATCTTAGAAAGTCTACATGCTGTTATATGAAGCAGGTAAAGCACAACAAATAGAAGCAGAGCTGAATAGGTACGGTATCCATGTTGTAGGTGTGGAAGGGAGTAGGTGGAGCAATAAAGCTACATAGAATGCATCAAGGTACAGTAAAAAGGCAACAATGGTATGTATGTGCCTTATATGGTACTTGCACGTAAGGGATCTTTTTAAGTGTACCTCGTATCCTCTGTAATCCACTTCAATGTCATCACCATAAACATTGATATGCTGATTAGCATTGTTAAACACTGTGCCTGTGAATGACAAAGGGAATGAAATGATTAAGTTTCTGTATAATTATGTTTACCTCAAAAATCGCAGATGATTTTAATTCAGACAAAATAAAACTGTCCAAAATTTCTACGTCTGAGAATTTTACAGCGCTTATTTCAGTTAAAAATATTGTGCAATTCTGTTAGTATACATTAAACGGACTAAGTAGAAGTATCCAATGACCCTGTCTAATTGAATATGATTATGCAAAACAGCTATGCCTGTCTGACAAAACAATTCAATAAACCGCATGGAAATACAAAGCTGCAACTCAAGTTCACTGGGATCTGTTACAATATTTGAGAGCAATTGAGTTCCAACAAAATGGCTGTTGCCAAGGTGAGAGAAAATTTTCAGATCATCCTTAAATCTTTCCCTTACACCTTAGAGGGCTAATATTGTTTGTTATGTACAAAGGAAAATTTGAGCCCTGTGATGCTTAAGGAAAGATTTTACAAAAGTTTAAATATTACAAGGATTTTTTTGCAAAACCACTCAACCATGATTGGGTGGTTAGAGTTGTTTTTCCCATACAAATCCCTCTAATCTTTACCAGCCATAGTAATCACTATTTTGGAGATATACAGCAGAAAACTTGCAGGTTTCTTAATTTTATATGCTCTTTCAGTTGATGCTAAGCTGTAGCTAAAAACTGTTTTCTTGTTTACAGCAACTTGATTGCATGACCAACTGCTGCAAAAGGCCTGTTCATCACTCCTCTAGAAATGACATGTGGGCCATCAAAATGATGCCCATGAAATCCCAAATCTTTTCCGTCAACAGATTTTGAAAATATAAATCCTATAGGTACTGTCGTAAGTGTAAAGTTTCTTGATTGATTATGGATAATTTTTTTAAACATTGAGAAGTGTGAAAGGTTTGAACCTAGGAGTCAATTCATAAGTACATGTAAGTTTAGCAAGATTATCCAGGTAAACGTAGTCCTAATTCTACATAGGACTGTTGTTGACAGTGACTGACGTTTCAACAACCTGTACGGTAGTCATCCTCAGAGAGTGAACTCGTCAGAACAGAACAGGATTGGCAATCTTGAAGGATGCTATATACTTCTACTATTGCTTTAGATTTTAGAAAATCTGTAACAGGAATTGTAGCCACTATGTGAAAATGGCGAATCTGGAATGTTATTTTCCCTGTGAGAATTTTATAGCTGAGGAACCACCTCTTGTAAGGTGGGCCTTGGTAGATTTCTGCTCATAAGTCAGTGAAACATAGAGGTTTAAATCCTTTGTAAGGAAAAGTATCACTAATGGTGTATCACAACTTCCTACACCTCCTACATGTAAATTCTTTGAAAAATCATAATTAGCTTATTAAAGGTGATATGAACAGTGTAGGAAAAACTAAAGACTCACCTGGCCTTGGATTGCGAGCATTACAGGCCATGTCATCAGCAAGCATAACAATAATGTGACTGTGTGAATATGAAAGTAAAAAGACAGTGATTATTGTAAAATGTGTGATTCCAGAAAATATCCATACCCCCCCCCCCACGGATGGTCAATGGAAATTCCTAAGGGGTGGGGTGGGGGGGCTAAAGGGTAGAAATTTCCTAGGGGTATGGGGGGTGCCAACGAGAAGAATTTTCCACAGCATTGTAAAAGATGCGATCGATCGTACGAAACAAACATAAGTATAATTATGTGGATCATTTTGAATTGTAGCACAACAAAAATCATAAATAGATGCCCTTTCGAGAAAAAACTTAAAGATGTAATGGTCGGTCCGTCCAACGTTTAACTTTGACGAAGTCTCTTAAATAAATATCGTCCTTCAGGCAAATCGATCGCAATTCTCGGTCCAATTCTCAACAGGTCCCTTGCTTCTCTGGGGATAAATTTTAGCGCATCGATTTATAATGTCGAACATGTATCTCGATTGTGGACTCGATTGCAGATTAGTCTGACAAAAACTTAGGCTAATCGAGAACAAACGTTGTCTATCTCAGCCCTATATTTCTCGAGCTTCGTGTAAACAACTTTATGCAAATTTCGGTTGAGCTCATTGCGACAAAGTGTTGCGTGACGACGCAAATAACAGCTTTGCTGTATTTTATTATTGACTTCTAATAAAGTACCGTTGAAGGCAAGCTGTTTGTGGAACAGACTTCTCGCCAAATCAACTTTTGCCCGAAAATATCAACGATCTGTTTCTTCTTTGTCGAGGAGACTTTCGATCATGTGCTAGGCGACAAAATAGATCATGTTTCACCGATGTACATCAAGGCCGTGCTCTAAGGAAAATTGAAGGGAGCCCAGTGCTCTGAAACTGTAAAATCTAGGGTGCCCAGCATATGATTTGTATGAAAAATCTAAGATTTTCTAGTCGCCCGAGGGCAAAAGTTGGGCGCCAGGGGCCACCGGGCTCTGCTAGAGCACAGCCCTGTACATCGATGCAAATATGGGACGCAAAATGAATGTTTGCATATTTTGTTCTTTTATAACCCAAATAAGTTTTCTTGTAATTCTTGAAATTTATTTAACTGCAAGCGTAATTCATTCAAAGTTAAAATTAATAACAAACATCGACTTTGTAGTGACTTTAGCACCCGAGACCGAACATTTAGCGCTAAACTTTGTTTGTAAGTTGGTTTTTTTAGTAGATATGTGTTAAAATTCGAATATCTTCACATAGTTTAATGCTAAATCAATAGTTAACTTTGAAGTTATGCTGTAAATGTTGCATTTGAGATGAAACTGACTTAGACTAGATGTGTACATCATTAAACTTAATTACATTTTTGGGACCGGAAGCCAAAGATTTACCGATAAACTTTGCCCGTAAGAAGATTCGTTTTGAAATTCGAAAATGTTCACATAGTTTTATTTCAAAGAATAGTTCAAATTTGAAGTTATGCTGTAAATGTTTTCTTGAGATGACATAAACATATTAATCTCTTTTTTCGTGCCTCGCGCGTTTCGCTGGATGGACTAATAAGAAGAGAGACTGCTCATTATTAAGCGTGCTCTACGTGCGTAAGAAATACAAATTGCCTTGTAAAAGATTACAAATAGGTCAAAGATTATAAAAAACTGTGTCTTAAGATGAGAACAGTTAATTTTAAGCAGTACATGGTCAATAATCTCTAAATGCGGCAAATAAAGGCCATGAAATTTAAAAGGAAAATAGGAAATTCCTGGCGGGTGGGGGGTTATACATGACCCCTCTGGAACGGAAATTCCAAGGGGGTGGGGGGGTCTAATCGGAAGAACCATCCGTGAGAGGGGTATGGATATTTTCTGGAATCACACAATGAAAATTAATTTATACTAACCATCAAAGACAATATCATAATACTATTTTTCAGGCATATTGCCAAGATGTATGAAAAAAACTATCTTGCTACAACTAGCACAGGTGTACTTGTAGCTGCCCACTGGCTTTTCTTATGGTTGCTTTCTACAGACCTTGTTTGAATCCCCTTATAAATACTTCACTTGAAGGCTGATAAAGATATGCTGGTCAGTGAAGCATTATTTTAAACTGATCATATGATATGGGACTGCATAAGACTAGGCTCTCATTTCCAGAAAAGCAGTTTTAAGGGGTGTCACAAAAACTCAGAACTCAGACCCCACTTAGAGTTGAACTGAGTGTCTGTGTTGTCGAGACATCCAGGGGTCTGAGTTTTTCACGGTCGGAGGTCTGAGTTTTTGTGTCACCCCAGTTTTGCGACGTTTCTATTATTGACTCTATAATTCTCTGTATACAACATACCACGCAGCTCCGGTTTTTCAGTAGCAAAGTGTAGGTTGTGCAGTTAATCCCAATGTTTAAAACCCCACACTTTCAATTTTTGTTTGTTTGTTGACGAGTGAACGCATCTAATTACATTTCTTGATATTTAGAAATAATTTACCTACCTATCGGGGATTCCAAGTCTTTTGACACTTCTATAAATGGACAGAACGTTAGCTACATGGCGATAGTTGAACCAGAACCGAGACGTACAAACCTAAAAAATAGAGAGTTTTAAGTCCGCTTCCTCTACTCCACTGTCAGTGATGGTTTTATATTTTTTCTCTTACCAATACCGCCCAATTGTTTGTGTGATCACTCTTCAAGAATTTATCGAAAGATTTCTCCATTTTTGCTGACATGGACTGAAACAACAAGGCTATCACAACTGGCAGCAGCACACATTTTGCCGCCATCTTGATTTTACGAATACCGAAAGGCTTCATGGGTAACTCTACTCTACGAGGCGTGATGCACTGCGTGATGCGAGAGACTTTTCTTGATTTTTTCTGTCAGTTTTTTCAGAAATTTGTAGAAAGTTGAATATACGTTGGTATAAGAAGATTTGAAAGCCGTCAATAACGGTGTTAATGTTTCCGTTTCTTTTTTTACGACTGCCACAGGAAAATGTTGCTGGATTTCCGATTGTTTCCGATTCATGACGAATTTTGACAAATGGTAATTGCCATGTTGTCATAGCAACGATGGAACCAGTTCGCTCAAAGTGTTAGAACCTTCGACGGATGTCCAATTTGTTCGCCTCTGAATGTAAACATTCAAGAATAAGTACAGATCATGACTGCCGAGGAGAGTAAAGATTACATGGCGAAAACAGAGGTTCATCAGCTTTTTGAGGTATGATATCGGAGAATCAATTATGTGTAATCTGTGCCACGGTGTGCGAAACAGCTCCAATTTGAGAGATTCCCGCATGATAACAGTCACCAATAATTAACAGTGACTAATGGATATGAAGACCGCTTCTATGATATTTTTAAAATGAAATTTGTAGACTTTGTCCTCCAGTTTATAAACTATTTAGTAGTTTCTTACTCCCTTCATCAAGTTTGGATGTACGATGTACGTTTTTGTAGCCCCCTTTGTGGGGCGCAGCAACTAAAGGCGAATGATAATCTTTATGGTTATTCGCAATCTTATAGAATCGAAGTAAGGTGCATCTTTTAACAATTTCAAATGCGAAAAAAAATACATATCCTGTAAGCTCGAGGAAATGGAAAAAGAAAACTAACTTAAAAAGGACCAGTTTCGGCTGAAGTTAATTGTAATGTTTATCTAAATTAGCGCAATACATAAATTTTTCAAAAATGTAAGCTTACTAGTTACAATTGCTTACACCACTGTAAGGTGATGTTTGCCCATATTTCAATGACTAAATAAGTGAGGGATTTTCTTTCTGTAACTTTATTGCACCGAACCGAACAGCCTGGTTTCATCAGACCTTTTCTGCGGATGTTTTTTTTAAAGTCCTCACCTGCATGTTTACTTTCAAAATGGAATATCAATAGCGACAAATAAACAAATTGATTGACGTATGTGTGCCAGCCTGCCAGTTGCGAACGATAATTGTTGTGTTTATAAAGATTTGTTAAAATCCTAAGTGCATGACTTAAAATATGTTTCTTTTGTTTTTTTGGTCTGAACGTTCTACAACAGCTCAAAGAGTTAACCTTTTGAGAGGCCAATGAAATTGATAAGAATTAATTATTAAATTTTCCATGACATCTGTTATTTTTAAGTGCTCTAGTTTTTTAATTATGTCAATGATTTTTTTTCAACAGACTAAAAAATCTTGATCTTTTTTTTTCTGCAGGGGATGCTGACTGGCCTACTTTACCATAAGCCAGAGGATCATTTAGCTTTTCTGGAAAATTGCATCTCCCTCGCAAAAACCGAAAAAGACATCAAGTGGAACACTTTCCTTGATGTCAGCAAAAAGCCATTACCGCCCATCCCAAAAACTGATGGACCCATTAAATCTGAGGCTGGAGATGAGGTACGCACTTTCACAACTGAACCAGAATTGAAAACAAGACAACCTCTTCCACCAATCAGTGGGCAGCGTCCATCCATTGACGATGATGAGAAGGACTTGACAGAAACGAATATTTTAACATCAGAATCAGAGGAGGAGGTGGAGGTAGAATTTTCAGGGCAGAGGATCGTGTTTGTTCTTGGTAAGTGTAAAGTATTGTAAGGTTATGCTAATTACCCCAGGGGATGGGGGACACCCATATAAAAGGGACTGTTAATTGCAGATTTTTGTCTCACTTAAATTAGTCTTTGGGATGGAAAGTCATGATATTTGCCCATTCAGGTATCGCTGAGGTCTCCGCATAAAGAAATGTACAAGAAATGCTATGACACTGATCTCACAGAAATCTAACTTTTAATAATAAAGAAGACAACATCCTTCACAATTATTTAGATCCCTTACTCTTATTTAGATGTCTGTTTTATTATGGTTTCTTTTAGGGGTCAGTTTAAGTTTGAGCCACACCCACGTTGGTGTCCCTTAGGGGTTAAATTTTAAATTTCCGATAGGCATCCCCGTTTATTTCAAATCAGTATAATGTTTCACAAGTGGACAAGGTATAAAAAATTGAACTGATTGTCCCAAACAGGTTTCATTTTTAAAGGTGGTTGAACATATTTCTATAATAGAGAGGGCTTTATCAGTTTCATCGTAAACAAATTGTTGGTTGCAAAAAAGAAAAGTTTTGTGGGGATGGAGACATGTCATGTACAGGGGACTGCTTTCACGTCCTACATATAAATTTCTTTCCATTTATAGGGTCTTTTTCCTTGATGCAAAATTGAAATCAACTTATTCATGTACTCCTTTGATTCTTGTACTCTTAAAAAAAAACAGAAGTAAAAAGAAAATATATAGTTAAGTTAGGCCCGGTTCAGACACCAAACTTTTCATGAGCTGAACCTGATTCAAATTAAGGCTGACCAAAACTATTTAGACCACCTGAATTGATTCAGACGCTGATCTCAATTCCAGCCGAACTAAATTAAAAAGGAGAAAAATGCTCATTTCGGTGAAACTGCTTGCAAAATGCGTTATAAGAATTTTTGTTGTAGGTTCAGTACATGAAAAGTTCTGTGTGTGAATCAAAACTGTTAAAAAGTCGTTCCACAGTTAAAATTCCTGGGCTAGGTGTGAAGAACGGCTGAACTGTTCCAAATTGAAATAGGCGTTCCTAACTGATTCAGACGTCAAACTTTTCATGTACTTAATTCAATGTATTAGTTTCGGCTCATGAAAAGATCAGCATCTGAACCGGGCCTTACTCATACTGGGGACCAGGAGATTCTCTGGGCATAATTTATGGATACCTGTGGACTTAGATTTCGTCACACAAAACAAAATTTACTCTTATTGTACACTACACTTTTCAGTAAACTTTGTGGCAGATTTCTCTGTCAGCATTGTACAACTAACATTGTCAAACTTAATTGAAATAGCAATGCAGTTTGTTACTTGAATCCCTAACATCATCGCTGCATCAACAGCGAACATTGCAACTTCAACTCCATGATGGGGGGACCCATACAGAGAAGAATTTGGCACATAATAATGTAAATTATAATGCTTTATTATCAAGCTACCAAAAAAGTGCTGCAGCTTAAAATACAGTCAATCATTCATCCTTTAACACTTTATGTGAACACCACAGGTGGACCAGGATCAGGCAAGGGGACCCAGTGTGCTAAAATTGTTGACGAATTTGGTTATGTACACCTGTCTGCTGGAGATCTTTTGAGACAAGAAGTGGCCAAGGGAAATGAAAGGGGACAAATGATTGAAAATATTATGAAGGAGGGAAATCTTGTACCTCAGGTAACATAAGCATGTAGATCACTTTAACTTTTTTGTAGCTGTCAAGGTTGTCATCAAGTTTTGAATCAGCAAATAAAGATTCATCTGTAGCATCTCACAAAAA